CCTCCCCCTGTGCCCGCCCGCATACACCTCCCCCTGTGCCCGCCCGCATACCCCTCCCCTGTGCCCGCCCGCTCCCCTCCCCCTGTGCCTGCCCGGCCTTCTGTGACCTGCGTGTCCCTTCCGGAGCATGGGGTCTGTGTGTCTCGCAGTCCGCAGTGTCCCCAAGCGGGGGCCGTCCCCGGGCCTGCATCAGCCTGAGATGCCCAGCTCTCTGTCCCTGGGTCGTGGTCCCTGGCGGGTGGGCAGGGTCCCCTGCCTGCCTGAGCACCGTCGCTCTCTCACCAGTGGCCGGGGGCTGGGAGACGCAGTACATGTGCTGCGCGGCTGCCGTCGGCGCCGTGGGCTGTCAGGTCGCCAAGGTAAGTCCAGCTGCATGCCGCTTCCCGCTCTCGGCTCTTGTCTGCCTCGGGCACTGCCCCAGGTCGAGGGACACAGTGGAGTGCCGGAGTCAGGCTTGTCCCGGGGCCTCCAGCCCTTCCAGTCAGGAGCCTGCACGGGCGGGCACCCGGTCCCAGGCGTGCATGGGGCCTGTGCCGGGCCTGCTGCTGACCCCCTTGTTCCCCAGCAACACGTGCAGGACGGCCGGAAGGAGAACCTGGAGGGCTTTGTGCGCACCTTCCAGAAGGAGCTGCCCGAAGACGCCCACGCAGGGGTCTTTGCCCTGGACTGTGAGATGGTGAGTCTGGGCTCTTCGGAGCCTGGGCCACTCTGGAGGGGGAGGAGGTGAGGCCGCCGGGGGCTTGCAAGTGAGTGCATGGCTGAGGTGCAAGGCTGTCGCCGACGCCCCATCTCCACGGCTGTCTTGCACTATCAGGCTGGGGGGGGGTCTCCTCGGCCCACTGGAGAAGGGTTCTCGGAGTTCCCGGCCTGTGTCTCCCTCTGCTGGGGGGATCTGTGCAGCAGCCATGGCTGGCAGGGCAGGTGGGCTTGGGCGGCCGGCCGCACCTAGCGCCCATCTCAATGCCCGCAGTCCTACACTACGTACGGCCTGGAGCTGACCCGCGTCACAGTCGTGGACACAGACATGCAGGTCGTGTATGACACCTTCGTCAAGCCTGACAACGAAGTTGTCGACTACAACACCAGGTGGGGCCCGGCCCTCCGCGGGACCCAGCCTTGCGCCTGTCCTGCCTTGCCCAACCCT